GTGATATATAATTAGATCATAATTTTTTCAACCAAATAAAAAAGAAAAACTTTTACACTCTCTTTTTGACACATCATCTGTATGTAAACTATTATATAACTACTTACATACAAGTAGCATTATTTTTTTGGTATTCGAGCAAATTTCTAAATTCTGTTGATTATGAATTAAAAGTTGGAAAATGACGGTTATGGTGTACAGCCCCCTCACATGTGAGGGAGCCCATCATGAATAAAAAATTTGTGAGCCCCCTCTACGTGAGGGGCAGCCTTCTTAAAAGTTTTATCTCAACCTTTGTCCACTTTTGTTCCTAACATTTTCCATATAATAGTTTCTGTCCAAAATTCGGTCAGTGGTCCCTAAAATAACATAATTGTCCCTAAACTTAAATTTACAAAAAGGTCATTTATATATATAAAAAAAAAAAGGAGAAATAGAAAATTATGTCATACGCTTGCAGCAGCTCCACAGCCTCGTCAGGTTCAAAGTAATAAATCAGGCAGTAGCGTATGAAAAATCACTGTGATTTAAGGGCCAAAATGCACATTTATTTTGTATTTATTTAAAAAATTCCTTTTACATAAAATTAAAGAAAATTTTAGATGTTACGGGGATGGTTATTCATTACTCACATGTACGTTCCAACGTGCTCCAATATTCTTGTTCCAACACATTATACAGTCGTTTCTCTACTTATAATTATACATTTAACGCATCTCAATGAAGTAGGGAGACTTAGGTACAACTCACATTTGTGATGCATTCCGAATATCTACAAATTAGATTATACACACGATTTTATCTCTAAGTATAGACACCGTATGTAAAGACCGATACAACGTACCTGCTTGAATGATCATATTTTCCCTATGCTGCTCTCCATTAAAAATAAATTATAATTTTATAAGAACTAATTTAGGATATGCCACTGATTGTAATGCCTAATTTGAAAACAAAAATCCATCACAATGAAGAAAAAAAAATTAGAAAAAGAAATCTGGACCTGATGTCAGCATGACAAGGGGGATATTTCATCTCGCGTGGAAATTCCATCGGGACTAATCTGCATGGATGTTACATACAACATATTCCCAAGTTAATAATATTTGGGGATTTTGCTTAAAAACCTAGTCTTGTTGTAAAATAAAGAGATAATTATTGATAATTACTTCGCGTTATAACGATGCATAGATAAGGCTTATATAGTCTAGAATATCTATTTCATTCCAATTATAATTTTTATTTTGGACCGTATAAATACCGGGTCTTGGTTCCCAATAAAACATACAATTGAGTTTTAACTCTTATATTTTTCTTCTCTTCCTGTTCTATTACTTTTATTTCATAACATATTATCAGTACGAACGCTTTTATCTAATTATTATTTCTTATTTGAAAAAAAAAATTAGTGATCGAAACTCTCTGCACCAAAGTTTGTATCCAATTCCGCATTGTGAATTTATTTATTTTTAAATATTACACGTCTATGCATTTAAATTCCCAATTCTACACTCAATTAGAATATTCTATGTCTTGCACTTAGTTTTGAAAAGCCCCTATGTTGTCGTTTACTTGAATATTATAACGAAATTTGCATCTATATCTTGTAACATAATAATTTATTTCCTTCATTAAAACTTAGTTGCATGGGGTTTATGAAGAAAAATTAATCTGCAAGTAAATGTTAGGATGCGTATCCCATTGAATTTCTTTACATCTCATCATGCACTTCAATTGTTAAAAGTAATACTTTATAATAATTTTAATTGCATATTAAATTAAAGTAATCATTATCTTATGATTATATGATGGAACTGATGATATAGATTATTATCTTTGTATGAAAAAAAAAAGTGATTAAATATTATTTTATGGTATTAATATATATATAATTTGTTATTGTCCTATAACAATGTGATTAAATATTTTTTTATGTTCTTTTATAAAATTTATTGATCGTGTTGTTGCTCCTAAAGAAGTGTAACTCTGTAAATAAATAATATTCTACTATAAAACATACTCCTGAAAAGTTGATGTTTTTAAATAATAGTTTGTTGATGCTCTTGATGTAGCACAAAACTATTAATATTTTTAGAATATAAATTGCTCCAGAAAAGCATAATATTACAATTTCAATATTCCAAAAGAATATTGATCGATTTTGGATAAAAACACGAAACATAATTTTCAATATTTTAGAAGAATATTAATATATTGCTCTTGAAAAAGCAAATATATGGTTTCTAAAGAGTTAATGTTTCGAAATAATAATTCGTTGTTGTCCCTGAAATTACACAACGTTATCATCAATATTTCAGAAGAATATTACTTGCTTTTGAAAAGCATGGATTATAATTTTCAATATTTCAGAAAAATATTGACATATTACTCTTGAAAAAGTAATACTAAAATATAACGTGTTCTCAAAATAGCACATTATAATTTTCATTAATATTCTAGTTAGATTTTACTTGTTCTTGAAGAGCATAATAAAATAAAATTTAACATAAATTATATTTTTACTCCTGAATAGTAGATCTTTACATAATTTATTAGTCTAAATGATAATATGTTATTACTCATTAAGAGCATGATGTAATTGTTATTCTGAAATGAAGTACGATTCAAACATTTGAATGCTCTGGAAGATTATTGCTAAATTGTTTGAATCAATTAATACAAATCAATATTCTTGAAGAATAACGTATTGCTCGGAAAGAAATACAATTTTATATTTATTAATATTTTTGAAGAATATTATGTGGTTATTTTTTAAGAATCACAATTTTAATTAAATTGCTTCTAAAGAAGCAATCATTTTTTTATATCAATATTCCTGAAAAATATTATTTCAAGACTTCAGAAGAGTCAATATCGTGTGATATAAAGGGATCAACTTACTATTGTTAGTAATTTATTCTCCACTAAATAATAATAAAAAAACTACAAAGTTTGTAATAATATTTCTTAATTGGTACATTAAACTAAACATTAGTCACCATTTTAATAAATATTGATTTGAACCAAAAGTTCAATAGCTCTTATATTTTATTGTTTGGCATGTCCAATTAGATTATCATTGGATTAATAATGATGCAAAATTGAGAATTTAAACATTCAATGAAGATCGAGAAGATCATTCAATACAATGAATTCACATATAATATTTGTTCTTTTTATCAAAAATTGATCATCATTAGCTAAAATATGGATTGAATCCCCTATATTTTTGAAAATTAATTAGAGTGATAAATGGGGTTCCGTCACCCTTCACATTGACCATCTAGATATTATTTGTATCTGTAACATCCTGAAATTTTCTAGCAAAGATTTTAATATTTGGAAA